GTAATCATATTTGGAAATAAATGCATACATGTGTACAATGAACCAAACATATATAGTGCACATAAAAATCTCTATATTTGGAAAGTGTGGACATCAAATGTGTCAAAATATTTCCTTTCAATCTGCTATACTTACCATCTATATGTAGTCAAATTTAAGTTGATGTCGACGACTAGGATCAAAATTTTCTCTTACCACTTAAGGGGTAAGAGGTAGCATCTTAAAATTTCTCTTGTTGGGTACTTCGTGATTGGTAGTTACGCTGTCGTTATCGCTTGTGTATAGTTATTTGAAGACGAAGGATTTGGAAGCTAGCTAACTTCTGGCAGTTAATAATTCTAGCAATGAAAAGGGCCTAGAGGAGCTCATTTTTTCTAAATCTTTGACTTTCTCCTCGGTACTACAGAAACTAAGATTTAGACAAAACCGCTAGAATTTCATCGATATGAGTGACATGACCAGGTGGGCCATCCAGGGAGCGGATATAGGTTTTTCTCCTCCTCTAGTTGGACACATCATGAAAATAAGTTGTTTCCCTATCCCCCTCCTTTGACATCCCTAATTCTCCTGGAAACATCATGCTATCAAACTGGTTACAGCTGCACATCACTTACTGGTCTAGAGTCTACCTCATATACAAATATCACGTTTGACTAACAACATTATCATGCCAAGAGACATAATCATATCTTATATTGAAATAAAATCTTGAACCGTCCACGAAACAAATACTCTCTCCATCCCATAACATAACATAAGACATTATTAATTACATCTAATATGGCACATATTGAATGTAATAACGTCTTGTATTATGGGGCACATGGTCTATTTTGGGACCTTAATTATTGGATGAAATCACAAAGCATGGAAAGCACATAGTACACACAACTTCTTATTGAACCAAATCTTGAGTAGTAGGAGTGGCTAGTGTCCAGGGGTTGGATGTTGGCGATGGAGCAGATCATGTGTGCCGGCAGGGTCATGGTACTAGTCAGACGAGGCGGCGACAGATGGTGAGGCCGTCTCCCACGGCGATCTGGCAGACATCGATGCGCTGGTCAGCAGCGAGCTCAGCCTTGAAGCCCTTGAGGAAGTCGGAGATGCATGCGAGGACACCGTCCACAACAACGCCGGGCAGGACGTCTAATGAAGGCACGGCGACGCCGGCCACAGTGCCACCCCAGAGCGTGTTGTCCTAGACGATGGTGCCGCCGACGCGGACCAGCCGCATCAGCTGTTCGTGGTACCGCCCGTAATTCTGCTTGTCGGCGTCCACAAACGCGAAGTCGTACTGCGCCGCAGCGTCGGCTTCCGCGGCGGCGAGGAGCTCCTCGAGGCGGTCGAGCGCCTTGCCCTCGCGGAAGTCCACCTTGTGCGCCACGCCGGCCTTCTGGATGAAGGGCAGGCCGAGCTCGAAGTCTTTCCGGTTGACGTCTATGGCCACCACCTTGGCGTCCTTCGGCAGCGCCAGCGCGGTGGCGAGGAGCGAGTAGCCCGTGAACACGCCGACCTCGATCGTGTTCCTGGCCCCCGCTATCTTGATCAGCAGCTGCAGCAGCTGGGCCTCTTCCGGAGTTGACTGCATGATGCCCCTGGATGCACCAACCAATATTAATTGGACCGACGTAATTATGTACTCCCTCCGTAAACAAATATGAACGTGTTTAGATCACTAGAATAATATCTAAACACTCTTATATTTTTTTACTACCTTTGGTGCTTGTCGGTGAGGAGGCGTAGGTCGCGCATGCACTCCGGCTCTCGGGGGAACACCGTGGTATCCAGGATGTACTTGTACAGGGCGTCACTCTTGAGCAGATGCTTGATATCGTAGCTCGCATTGACGTCACAGCCACCAGCCGCCATTGCTCTTGGTTGGTCTCCAAGAAAACTAAGATCAAAGCACTGAGGAACAACTCACTAGCGCACTGATGCAGTGATACTTGCATTGCAATGAGGTTTGGTTTTATAGTGGTTGTTGGACTGGGATCCCCCACTAGCTAGTGCAGATTGGGTCATCGCACACAGTTCAAAATCCTATCTCACAAGGATGGTCGAACCGTCACCTCGCCATGTTGTGCAACATGGGGGAGGTGGGGCATTGCACACGATACGAAAAAGCATGTACGATAGGCACTACTTAGAGAAGGCTTTATATGTGGCCTCAAATTAATTGCGGGTGCGGTCCGGAGCCCGCCACAGCTATTTTGAAAAAATTACATTGACGGGTAAAAGTTTAGGCCCGCCACAACTAGTTTGAAAAAGTTGCAGTGGAAGTTAAAAATTTAGGACCTGCTACTTGTGAGCTGCATTGGGATTTTTTCGAAGAAGAGAGAATGATGCAGTACAGTACAAATAAGTATTTTTCTCAGTTAAGAACCAAGGTTATTAATCCTGTAGAAGAGCCACGCAACACTATGTAGCAGTACCTGCACACAAGATAACAAATCTTTGCACCCAACGAGAATAAGGGGTTGTAAATCCCTTGGCGGTTGAATTGTAAGTTTATAGACAGATAGATTGCACAGAAATATCAAATAAATAAATTAATAAATAATGCAACAATGTATTTTTGGATTTTAATATATGATAAAAGTAGAACCGGGGGCCATAGTTTTCACTAGAGGCTTCTCTCGAGAAAATAGCACATGATGGTTAGAGAAATTATTGTTGGACAATTGATAGAAAAACAAATAATCATGACGATATTCAAGGCAATGATCATATATAGGCATCACATCCGAGAGAAGTAGAACGACTCCTGCCTGCATCTAATACTATTCCTACAAACATCGACTGCTATCTAGCATGTGTCTAGAGTATTAAGTTCATAAAAAACGGAGTAACGCATTAAGCAAGATGACATGATGTAAACAAGATAAATTGATACATACGTGTCATGTTCCCTTCTGTCACTGGAATTGAGCACCACAAAATTGAGCACATTACAATGCACCTCTCCCAGTGCAAGATAAATTAATCTAGTTGGCTAAAGAAAATCAATAGATCGGAGAGAAACACAAAGCTATAGCAATAATGCATAAAAGAGTTCAGAAAAAACTCAAATAATATTCATATATAATCTGATAAAAAAACTCACAATTCATTGGATCCCAACAAATACACCACAAAAAATCATTACATTAGATAGAACTCCAAGAACATCAAGGAGAACATTGTATTGAAGAAAGTCGAGAGAGAAGAAGTCATCTAGCTACTAACTATGGACCTGTAGGTCTGTGCTAAACTACTCACGCATTATCGGAAGGGCAACAAGCTTGACGTAGAGCCCCTCCGTTAGCAATTCCTTCTCCGGCGGAGTGCCGGCGGAGGCCTCGAGAATCTCAGAAGAACAGAAATTTACGGCGGCGGAAAAAGTATTTCAGGTGGATCTCTGATCTGAGAGGAATATTTGAGTATTTATATAAGAAGAATTAGGGTTGGAGATATCACAGGGGGCCCACAAGCCTGTTAGGTCAAATAGCAGTGCCAGGCACTTGGTACCACCTGCCACAATATATTTCACATGAGAGGCGCTATCCACAACGCCAAGTTAAGTTCATTGTCACCCAAGGAGGACGACAAGTTTGCCCCTTTATCGCCACCATCACCTATGAAGGATACTTGAGTACTTGGATATGGGTGCCACCCTTGGCTTATTTCAAACTGGGAGGAGGAGCCCCGATATCGTACCGTCGTAATATTTCAACATTATTAGCTATTTTAGTTTGATCTTTAGTTGTCTTATGATATAAATATGTATTAGTACGCATTAGTTTTGTAAGTTTTTGTTCCGTCCCCGTGCCATCAATGTAACGTGCGTGAGAGTCACTATAATAAAGATTAGCGCGAGTATCTTTTATTTTTTGTTGCCATGTATCCCATCTTTGTAAAATAAATTTCATATACTTATCTCATGGGAAGTATTGACTTCACATGGGGTGTAGGAAATAAAATCTATTGGAATTTAAAATGCATAACATTGGTCATTGAACTCCAGGGAAAATTGCAAACCCTCCCCCCCTCCCCCCCCC